GCATACATATCCTGGTCACGCCCTTATTCAAGCGCCGCTGCCCAAACGATGATTATAACATCATCCTTCCTGAAAATCCCAAAGGCTCGTTATTATATTATAATGTATAGAGCAATGGCGCCCCCGCCAATTAAATAGCCACACAAATAGCTTAACTATAGTCAAGTCCCACGCATACGTATATACAACACATACGTAGAAAGATTGATCTATAATAGTGTCGTACTTGTCTAAACAGGACTCCCCCATAAAAAAAAATAAAAATCATCTAAGTATATACAAATTCATTTTAATTTTAGATTCAGATACTTTCCAGAGTTTTTCCTTTTTTTGGTAACATTTAAATAATTACTTTATTATCATATTATCATAGTAATAATGTGGACATTATTTTTATTATATCCCTTTTAAATATTTAAATTCGCAGTAACAAGGCTAAAAGTTTTTAGATAAATGACTTAGCTGATTTTTAAAATTAATTATTATTTTATGAAAACATTTATGAAAGGAAAAAATAATCTAACCGAATAATCTTACCGAACTTGGGAACAAAATTTAATCTTCAGACTGTCTAGTATTTGGGTTTAAGGTTCTTTCAGTGATAAGACGATAGACTAAGTTCAAAGTTATGCTAAAAATGAACCCCTGACAAGGATTAGAAAAAGAAGGAAAGATAAGCAAATGTCAAAAAGATAAAATTCTCAAAGTAGTAGCAACTATATTTAGATTTTCAAATCTTTATTTTCATTTTAGAAATTCTCTGAGAAATTTTACGATTGCAACGAACACTCATAAATGCCAAAAGACATTTTTTTATTTTATTTTTTTTGTTATTTACCATTGTGTTTGATTTTCATGAGCATTGTTGTGTTATTCATGCAAATATATCGTAAATCAAAATAAGTGTCTACATTTGAAAATTATTTTTATTACTGCACTTGTACTATCTCTGATCATAAATTCTAATGCATGGCCATAGATTAGGAAACATCAATGTAATGGTCAAATTTTGTCATTTTTGTTGACCTTTAGTATTTTTTATATATCTTACATTAGGGATAATAAAGAGATTTAAGAATTGTACAAAAATATTCAACGTCGATTGCACCAGCCCGGCTAGCTCAGTCGGTAGAGCATGAGACTCTTAATCTCAGGGTCGTGGGTTCGAGCCCCACGTTGGGCGCCAATTTTTTTTTTATTCTTTTTCTTCGCATTCCTGCATTCTAGACAATATTTCTCAAATTTATTCTCTTTTATTTTGTATTTTTTGTTTTTTTTTTTGTACAAAGAATATAACTAAAGCTCTCACCGTTTTACTTTTAATACCTATTTCAAGTCAAARGCTAAAGATTTAACGAGAGAGAGAGAGAGAAAAGAAGATACCATGAGTTTTCTATGCAGCATGTTCAAACATCTTAAAACTCGTTGACACCAAAGACGACGTTTCCCTGATAAGATCGCTTCTGAAATGTCTATTTCTTCGAGCGGAAAAGAATATAGTATATAGGAAATGCAAGTTTATTCTCTGCTCCTCCTCTTCATCCCCCTTCATCCCCATCCATCCCTCATTCTCATCCATCCATTGGAATCGTCTCCTGACTTACTCATGCTTCGTTAACTTTTTGCCGTTTCTCCTCTTACGTTGCATTTGAGTGACGCGTCATGTTTAAGCTGACTTGAGAATAGTTTTACGTGTGTTCCCTCTCGTAAATACGAAAGTTCCTCTTTTGCTACTGGGATAAAAGGAAAATTTACCTCCGTCAAAAGGACCAACATTTTTTTGTATTTTTTTCCTTTTTTTCTTTTTTTTTTTTTTCTTTTTTTTCTTCCTACAAGATCGTGTATCAATTTTCCATTGTAATTGACAAGATAGAATCGAAAGTGAGTTTACGTTTCGATCGAGACGCATTTTGATGGATTACTTTCGAATGTACATATAATATAAATAGCAAGAAACTTTCATTTAAGAATTTTGCGTCTGGTGGCCCTCTTATATGCACTCTCATAACTTTCATCTTTTTCAATAAAAGCTTTCTTAAAGGACCCTATATAAGAAAGAGCATGAAATAGCATGAAAGAGATAGATAAATAGTAATAATCTCTTACCTTAGGAGCAAGTATCAAGGATTACATTATCATCATGACGATCGGTACAGAACTCAGACACGATTTCTAATCTTATTCTCAATTCCAAATAACATTTTGAAATGGTTTGCGTTCTTAGAATTAGATAATCGGATGTAGATAATCCATAGGAATAATAGCAATGTTATTTCTTTATTTTACAAAAGTAAAAATGAAAATTTCTTAGTCATTCGTTCATTTGCATATAAATACATATATTTCTTTTCGTAATAATTGTTCATAGAAAAACATTTTTAATTGATGCTTTTTGAAAGACAAATTAATAGAATAATCGTAGAATTTCAATGTGAATTTTAACTTTTATTATTATATTTTCCGAGCAACTGAAAAATATTTAAACATTATTTATTAAAAAAAAAAAAAAAGAAAAATAATGAAAAAGCAATTTATAGTAACCATAAAATTTGTATTGAAATTCTAGGAATATGCAGAGAAGACCAAGTTCGTACGTAAACGAATGAATTAAGGAAGAACCGAGAATAAAAAAGATGTCGAGAAAGATATCTAAAAAGGGATCGAAAAGCATTTGACGATCATCATCGTCATCATCTTCATCGTTATCATCTTTAATTTCTAAGAAAGAAAAACGAAGAAGAAGAAGAAGGAGAGACAGCGATTGCGTTGAAGCTTTTAATCAGAACTGGAAAATGGAATTAAAAAACGAATAGTAATCGTAAAAGAGGTTGGTAAAAAAGAATAAAAACGAAAAGCTTAGAATACGAGGTTAAAAAGGGATGAAACTATTTGGGTTATTTGAAGATTTCCGATTCTAGAGATTAGTGTTTCTACAGGTGTTTCTCGTTCGCTTCTTTGTTCATAGAAAAAGAAAGAGAAAGAGGATAGACCGATAGAAAAATTGCTGACATTTTTTTCCAATCTTTGGGGTGAAAATGTCGATACTTTTCATTTGATAAAAACTTGTGGGAAAAGAGATCGGAGATTAAAAAAGTAGAGTGGGGAAATTGTGGTGGATTGAATTGAGAGATACGTGGTCTGAGAATAAGAAAAGAAGAAAAAAGAGAAAGGAGTAGAGAGAGGCGCGTGTGGTGGAGTTACGATAGTGGGCGAGAGAAAGAGAGGACGAAGACGAAGGAGGATTGAAAAAGAGAGGGAAAGAAAAGAGAGAGAGAGGGAGGAGAGAGAGAGAGAGAGAGAAGCGGGGAAAGGAGGATCCAGATCTGTCGCGTGCTGCGTCGTCTCTGGGATGGGATGAAACCGGGCGAAACGAGACAACACAAGATTATCACTAGAACTACTACTATAATACTCGTATAGACGTTTAACCTAGTATGTGTGTACATTTAAAAGGGTAGTGGTCGTCGCAATAGCCTTTAATATTGGGGTAGTAGTGATATTGTACTGTGCCGTGCTGTGCCGTACTGTGCTAGATTAGAGAAAGTGACAGGGCCATGAAGGCAATAGTAGTAGACTATTATAAAGAGTAGACTTAAGTAGAATAGTCAAATAGAGAAACGCAAGTTCGTCATTAACGGACGAGACGGGATGGATGGTGTGAGTAACTCGTCGATCTCGAAGCTTGCATTGGTATTGGTTTTACTCTCAACGACAGAGAAGTTAATACAAGAAAAGTTGTATTGGTGGTGGTGTTCGTGCCGCCGTCGCCGCTGCTGCTGCCGCCACCACCGCCGTTCTGTTTCTCTACTACGAGAACGAATTGACGAAGAGGAGCAGCAGCAACAACACCACCAGCAGCAGCACAAGCAGCAGCAGCAGCAGCAGCAACACCAGCAGCACCAGCACCAGCAACGTGTGGCCGAGCCGCCGCTCTGCCAGAGAACAGAACCACGGCACTCGTTCAGTAGTTTCTCGGACGCCGCACCGGCATCATCCGACCTCGACCAGAGATAACCCAAACACACACATACATACACACACACCCATATACACTGCCATAATTATTGTACTTCTTCGAACCTTATTTTTATTCATATTCCTATTCCAATTGGTCTTTTCCTTATTTTTATTCTATTTCTTTTTTACTGGGCACACACGAGTCGCGTGTTACTCTCAGTAGTATTTTATTTCAACAACCACGAGGAGATATTTTATTCAGATCAAAAATAAATAACACGCGAACATTAGTTCATTCGCATAATAATTAACTGTGGTATCAGTTTTGTACAAACGTTTTTTAACGAGGCATTGATTATCATCATCATCATCATCATCATCATCATCATCAACCCCTTGTGGAGAACACCCGGAAGTAGAACAAGGAAATACGAACGAGTGAAAGAGAGTGTGAGAGAGAGAGAGAGAGATAGATAGATAGATAGATAGAAGATTAAATTATATCCTCTTCCTCTTTTTCTTCTTCTGAAAGTGTCCTTTCTCTCTGCTTCTATCGATCAATCGTTGTTTTTTATTATTTGTTAATTAATTAACTTTGTCACTCTGGGACTAGTTCTCTTCTCTCGTCTCTCTCTCTCTCTCGCACACACACGCACACACAAAACGTACACTATATCTTTCATAATACTTTCATTCATCGCGAAGTAAAAGAGATCTTGTGCAGGTGTCGGACTTCCCGCGACGGAAATCATTGAGAGAAAGAGAAATAAAAGTTAGACGAAATCGGTGGCACGAGTGGTGAAGTAGCATAGTGTTGATAACAAGCTCAAGTGGTGGTGTTAGGTGATAGTGTCAAAAGCTTTCTTCCAAGTGCTTATCGATAAATGTAATGTGATGGTGTTGTTCATGGTGAACTGATGATCGTGGCCCTTTTTCATAATTGCACGTTAATAAGAACATCCAATTCAAGTGCATACATTTAATTTACTAAGTGATTGATCGTAATTCGAATAATTTTAACATCTTGGATAAATATTGCAATATTTACAAATTGAGACGAAATTGAAAAGAGGAAGAAGAATAAAAGGGGGGAAAAAAGGGCAAAGTGGTGTAAAAACCGTTAGATAAAGTAAAGTTAAAGGCAGATGGACATATATATCGTTTGTAATCGGTGGTGTCTTGATTAAAAAGGTCCGAAGAAAAAAGTAACTTGTCAGAGAGTGGGGTTATACAGGTAAAAATAAGAAGAAGGCGGCGTTAACGACCGGTAGCCGAGGTAACTCATCGAGAAAACCGTTTAAAGAGGGACTTACGTCGGCCTCCGGCGGCAGATCGAACGAGCCGAGTATATAGAAAGAGAAAAAGAGAAAAAGAGAGAAAGAGAGAAAGAGAGAAAGAGTCGAGTCGAGGGATCAGATGCCACCTCGTAAACCGATCCCTTGGTTCCCGATATTCGCGAACAAACCGTTCTGACGTGTGGGAGAGTAAGAGGATTGACCGACCGGCGCCTAGAGTGTTGGCGTGTCGTTTCTAGAAAACACCTATATCCAACATACGAACAATACGAACAAAACGACAAACAGCAAGAAAAAGAAGAAGAAGAAGAAGAAGAAGAAGACTGTTAATAATGCGAGAGTATCGAAGATGTAGTACGTGGTTAGTGGACCGGGTGCAGCATCCTCCGTTCTCATCAAGAATCGGCTTTCCAAGGCGGAAGTGATGGGGCCCTTAAAAGATGTTAACAGGTGGTAGACAGATAATATCCAATTAAATCGAGCGTACTTATTAATAATCGCTTGAAAATACAATATAAAATAGAGGGGGAGAGAGAGAGAGAGAGAGAAAGAGTAAGAGTAAAGAGAGTAGATGAGAACGTCATGCCCACTGAGATCGACACGGGCGGGCAAAGGGTGCTGCACTGTGATTACCGTGCCGACTGCCCTCTACCAATCCTCTTATCAACATCTACTAAGAAAGACGAGCTACTTCTAAGGCTCTCGAATCCTATCATCGAGAGTTCTCACGAAAGGTCGCATGAAAGGTCTCACGAAAGGCATCATCAGGAAATTCGAGTCATCGGTGAAGTCAATAATCGTCGTGGTTGTACTCGACGTCTGAATCGATATGAGGATCGCATTCAACGAAATTGTTGTTGTCGTCGTCGTCATCATCATCATCATCATCATCATCATCATCACAGTTATCATCATCGGCGGTATAGATCTAACGTTGATCTTCCCAAGGACTCTGAATCTATATTAACCAATGAGAATGTCGTTACTTATATCTCCGGACCATGCACGAGTATTACGACGACGACGACTACTATTACTACTACTTCTAGTTCCACTAATGCTGCTGCCACTGCTGCTACTGTTAATATATATAATACTTGGTGGAACACCGCTACCACGACGACCAAGACGACGAGCAAAAGATTTTCCAACAGAAGAAGCTTGTCTTGTTCCCTAGAGACTATTATTCATCGACGCTTACGGTCCAGGACTGTTTCCTTACCAAGGAAATTCCGTGATCGGAGCTACCAACGTACGAATTATTCATCTTCCTTCGCTAAGGAAGATCGCAAACTTTATTCGTGCAAAAACTTTTCTAACAATGATCGGACATTCTCGTTATCATCGACTATATCCTTATCATCCTCGTCGTCGTCGTCGTCGTCCTCTTGTTCGTCTATTAACTCGAGGAGTCGCGTTATTCGAAGAAATACGCTATTATTTTCTAGTCATCGCTCGCGATCCTTTTCTTATCGCGAGAAGGAACCTCTTAAACGGGCTGCTGATCGATCGAGTTCATTGTCCAATAACTCTTCTTCCTATTCTTATGCATCTTCTACGGGGAGTGTCATTGACTATAAAGTATCTCATAAATTTCCTTTAAACTGGTTTACAAAATCCTCAGAATCGTCATGTTCATCATCGCCACCGCTTCCAGCACCACTACCAACACCATCACCATCACCTTCTTCTTCTTCTTCTTCTTCTTCTTCGTTTTCTTCTTCTTCTTCTTCTTCTTCTTCTTCCTCTTCATCCACCTCCCGATCCTGGAGATTTTTCGCCAATACCAAATACGCATTGAAACAAAAGTGCCGTTTCTACTTTCAGCTAGCCTTCCTTTTATTTCTTCTTGCGTTTGGCCATAGTGGACTATTAAAATCGAGTGTGCTTAAGTTTAGTGCGAGATCATATTCTTTGTCATCGTCATTAAACGGGATTAATCCCGGAAAGTTTGCTGCTTTAGTTGCAATCGGTAGTATCGTTGGTAGTGTTGTAGTAAGTGCTGCACCGATCGACTTGATTACTGACGCCGGTGTCAGAGCTGAGAGATCGGCCAATCTCTCCCACATTACTGGTGCCTCCAGGAAGATTCAGATGTACATCAAGAATCGACATCTACAGATTTTGCCTGATGGCACGGTTAACGGATCCAATGACGACACTTCCGACTACAGTAAGTCACACCATTATTATTTATTATTCTTTATTTTAAGATTTTCTTAATATTTCCTTTCTTTTTCTTCTCTTTTACAGTTATAATGATTTATTAAAAACACCCGATTGTACCGTTTTCAAATGAACTCGATGACAGGTTTTCAAGTGCAATCATGCATTATATTATTACTATAATATTTTTGTTTGTTCCTATTTAAAGCTCGTAGGTAGGTTTTAATTGCACACATTTTTCTCTCCCTGTTTCTTTTTCTCCTTGTTTTATTTCCATGTGTGTTATACTAAAAAAAGATCAAATCTACCGTTTCAACGATGACACATTTAAATGTAATTAAATATTTTTATGTCATATCTCTCTCCCTCTTTTATTTTTCAATATGATCAAACAGAGGTTCTCAAAGATTTTCAATTTTCTATCGCCTTGTAAATACATGTATTAGTATAAAAGTATTTCCTCAATGGGGAATCAGTGCATCCCTAAATGATATATTCAACGAATCAAATTTAATAATATCCGTTAATGAAATAGATTTTTTTCTGAACATTCATTGGAATGGAATTAGTATCAAAATTGTACCACCAAAAATAATCTAATGTACCATTAGTGTTGTGTGTATAATAGTTTGAGAAACGATATGATAGAGGATTAATGGATATATCAAGTTACTTTTAATGTGTTTTCTACAACACATGAGAACCTTCTTTGTGTATGTGTGCGTTAAAGTGTCAAAGAAAAATTGGAGTTTCTCGATAATCATAAATTCGAGATCATAAATTTCTTAAATAAGATCGTATATTATTATCATTTACATCCAAGAAGTCTACACTTATACACTCATACATAAATACGTATACTCACAAATATCTATTTATCGTAATTAACTAGAGTGTTAATCTATCGCTCGTGGAAAACTAAAATTATCGTTTAAGATAAGAACGAAAGTTAGCTAGCAAACGAAGATCGTGATTAGAAAAGTTGACTTTAATTAATGATAATATTACCCAAGAAGTTCACTGTCCAATATATGAAATTGATTTCTTTTTTTTTTATCTTTATTTTTATTTATCAATTGATCAGGAAACATTCATCGATGAGTCGTATATTAAATAAAATTAGTTGGGTTGACCTCAATTGGATCACTATTGGAACGTCCAGGATTCGAAAACGATTTTCCTCAGAGAACTGTACTGTCTCCTCCTGAGTAACCATCCATTCGAAATTCGAATCAGCCAATTTAACGTTAGAACATCTAGAAAGTGTTTCTCTGTGTGGGTGTACGTACGTGCTATGTTCCAAGAATACAATCGACCTCTTAAACTAGTCTACGGAGACCTTTGAAACTTTTCATCGAGTTTCGAGGCATCGTGCGATTTAAATTTACGCCTGTTACCTTTTTTTTTTTATTTCTACTCTTCGTCTTTCTTTCTTTTTCTGTATCTGGATCGTTCGTTCGTTCGTTCGCTCGCTCGTTCGTTCGTTTCTTCTTTCTGTAACTTTAATTGTAAATTTAGATGATCAATATGTATATGAGTGTAGAATACTTGCAAGTTCCAAGTTGAATTTGTAGTAGAAGGACAAGAGGGATTCAAATTGTGGTTGAAGTATTTCCAGGTTCTTCTTTAAGGAAACAATCGCGTGAAAAATAGATATGACTACCTTCTACTTCTTCTCCTTTCTATTACGAGTATTTATTTATTCAAGTTCGCCGTTAGGTCCCTGGCCTTCCCATAAAAAAGAAAAATATTTCTCAGAGCCATGCGCCGGCGCTGTTTTTTCTCTTCACTTCTTCTCTTTTTTACTCACCGAAAGTTCCGCTAAATAAAGTACACACCTACGAGAATAGAATCGAAAGGGTAGAAATTGTCCGAAAAGATAATAATCGAAGCATTTAAAAACCAAAAAAAATCAAATATTTATAGATACACACACACACACACATGTGCACATATGCATTGAAAAAAATTGCATTTAAATTTGGACTCTCTCATCTTGTATTTTTTGTTATTTAATGTAATGGGAAAAAATTGGAATACCTAATAAACAAATTCACCCTAACGGGCACACTCATATGCATTCGTCAAAAAATTGCATCTACATTTGCCCAGATATTATTTTTATTTTCCATTGATTTTTTATGGGTGTTTAAAAACAGTCAAATTTTATCGTTTCTCATTCGTGCTTGTGTAAAAAATTGCACTTAAATTTAGATCCCTTTTCTTCTTTTCACTTCATTCATGTTTTATGATTGTTTAGAAATGGTCAATTTTTGAAGTTAAAGAGAATCAAAAGAAGACGAAGAAGAAGAATGGATTCTAAATTTAAATGTTTTATTTAAAAACTTGGTACGTTAATTCCCATGGAGATTATTACCGATGACCAAATAAAACAATTTGTATTGTAATAAAAAAAAAATGCAAATCTCAATTTAACGATAGATCTATAAAATGAATAATGTTAAGCTAAGGAAGATGTAAATAATGTCACAATAATCGTTATTATTTAAGAACAATTTAATCGGGTTTTAATAATTAACATTAAATACATGGTTGGATCTGAGATCTTATCGGACAACTTTCTTCTTCTTTCCTATCACAAACGGGGTTTGAACAGATTTTATTAGATGGCTTTTATCTTAATAGCTATTCCAGGAAAGAAAACGAACATGATTGCATGAAGATAAACTCATGAAATGGCCGAATTAGCATTATCATTCTCTTTCTCTTTCTCTTTCTCTTTTCTTTCATCCTATCTGAATATGTGTATTAAATTTTTGAGAAACGTGACTTTCTTTCCGAGAGTTTCTTTGAAGACATGAAATACTTTTCGTTTCATTCAATAATTATTATTGAATAAAAAAAAAAAAAGAAATAAGAAGATTGGATAGTAGTGATTTTAAAATGATGTTGAGAAAATAAGGTTCCTTAGGTTGCTTGATTTTGATTAATTATGTTCATACATAATATTAATAATAATGCTAATAACACCATCTTGTTATTGCTTATCTAGAACGTAACAATTTGGATGATTTTCACTCGTAGTGTCTAGTTGAAAGGTGGGTAAAGAAAAAGGTTCGTTGGGAGGGTAAAAGGGTAAAAGATAATGTTGTTAATTGGATACTCGTTAAGTTAGAAACGATCCCACGTCTTTTATATCCCGTGATATAAAAGACGAAGCAAGAAAATCGCTCGTGCCCTTCGACGACAGCTGTTTCCTTTCGTCTTATGCTAAAGAATTTCTACCTCTTTCTACCTCTTTCTTCTCTTTCTACCTCTTTCTTGCAACATACCCCATGAAATTCTGAATTATTACCGGAATACTCTTCGGAAATGGCCGATGATGAATAGGCAGAAGCGACATCGACTCTTGTGCTCCACCTTCCTCCATAAAATCTCATAAAATTAATAAATACGACTATGACGATGGTAAGAACGACAAGGACGAGAAGAACTGGTGACTAACTTACTTCTAGGGTTTATTTGATTTTTTTTTTTTTTTTTTTTTTTTACCTGCTTTTACTTTTTATCAGTCTTCTTTTTTATGCAGGAACAACTTAGCTCTCACATAACGAAACATGTTGTTTCGCCTCCCCGTTGAGAGTATCTGAATATCGCATTTCGTAACAAGTTTAAGAAGGACGTGTAAGAATCGATAATTTAATGCTCCCTTGCTTCATCATTGTCGATAGTTTTCTTCATCTTCGATTACTTTTCAAAGCTTACTTAAAATACTACTTGACTAAAAACATATTATGTTTTTAAGTGAAACATCTCTCTAAAAAAAAAAAACTCCTCCATAAAATTCAAATAAGAAGTATCATATGAAAGCCTAAAAACCCCGTCACCCAATCTTCGAATCGACAATAAAATTACAAGCTAATTACAAAGGAATCGAAGATGGTATAATTAAGTGGAAGGATGAAGACTATTAACGAAGTAGGACCATAGTCGTTTGTTTTATCCTCCACGTGAGAGACTAGAAACTCGTATAACGCGGGTGGTCAAAACTTTGAGACATGGACAAGACATTAACTAAATAAATAAAAAATATAAAAAAGAATTAAAAGCAAAAACCTCCCCTCCAAGAGAGAGAGAGAGAGAAAAAAAACGAAACGTAGGCGTATACTCAAAAGAAAAAGCAACAAAAAATGACTAATAAGGATACAGCAGAAAAGCATCAATGGATGAATCCTTGGAGACTGTAGGGTGCAATGCAACACAGCTTGCTATTGGGTATTCCTCAGGTACTTTTAACTTGAATAAAAAGAAACAAAAAAGAAGAAAGGCCACTTAAATGTCGACAGGACGACGGGTCCTAAATCTTAAACAGCAAACTCGAGTGGGTTTGTAGAACTATGCTTCAGGGTGACTTCGAGAGTACGGAAGGGAAAAGTCAAGATGAATTTTAGTTGAACATCAGGGTATGGAATTAAAATGGGGAATACAACGAGGTCAATTGTTGTCTCTTTATAATTGTTAAATCTGATTGGATTGACTAATTGCTGTTATAAATGTCTTTATTCCATATTCTTCTCATTTCTTTCATTTTCTTTCTCTTTCGTTGTATCTCTATTCCTGTTTTACTTGAGTCAGCAGTCATAATGTTTCTTTTAGTTGAACCTACCTCATAAATCAAATACTGCAAAGGTCGTAATATCGGACTCGATAAAACAAGACTTGGCTCTCATTCGCTACTTGGAATGTACGTGATTTAGACGTAAAGGCTGTTGAGAGGAAAAACAGAAATAGAAAGAAAGAAAGAAAGAAAGAAAGAAAGAAAGAAAGAAAGAAAGATTGTATCGCGATCGATTATTAGAAAAATTCTTAGAACATGACCGTAGGTAGTATTCCTCTTGGATAATCAATCAAAGTTCACTTTTTCGGCTATTATTCATCTTTACTGTTGATATTTATACGCTGTCGAAGCTTTCAACTGTAATGACGAAGAAAGAAGATAGAGAAAGTACATACATACATGTATCTATGCTTATGTAGAAGTATATG